CTCCCTCCTCCACCGCACTGTGGAACAGGGGCCTATGAGCTAGGGGCTGCCCCTGAGCTCACAGCAAGTTCTGATGAAGAAACTGAGAACTGGAGAAATGACTCACCTCAGCCCCATGCTGGGTTACAACAGCACCCAATTCTGGACTGAGGCGACCCACCCACATATAGGCCGAGAAGTCACTGTGTGTATTGGGTGCCCTCTGCTCGTATTTCAGCGACTCCTCTGGGTCTCCTTTTCCCTGGTTCTGCACACCTTGCGATGGCCCTGCCTCTCACTCCCACTAGCATCTTACTGGTTCATGCAGTGAAGGAAAAACAATACATGAGTTGGGGTGGAAAAACTGGGTCAAGACTTCAGGCAGGCACAAGGGCGGAGCTCAGTGGGAGAATACCTGCCCAGCCTGGACAAAGCCTTGGTCCAATACCCAGAACATCATGGGGGGTGGGGGGATAAAGAGTTAAGGCAGCAACTTACAATATATTAATAAACTTTATTTTTTTTTCTGAGATTATAACTGTAACAAATACCAGGAGGGGAAAATTTGGAAGATAAATTATCATCGTAATACCCAGAGGGAATCACTGTAAAAAGGTTTGACAAATACTGATGCAGTTGGTGTACTGGTTCACACCTCTAACCCCAGTGTTTGGAGGCTGAGGCAGGAGGGCTGAGTTCAAGGAATTTTGGACTGGTCTGGGCTGTAGAGTGAGACTCTGTCTAAAAAAAAAAAGCAAATGACAACAACACAAACCTCAATAGCAACAAAACAAAACAAAGGCACTTAGTATTTCAGCAGCTGCTCTTTTACTTCCAAAAAGTCATGAAAATGATTCATTTAACAAACAATATAAGCACCTGCTACATATACCCAGCATTGTTCTGGGTTTAGGTATGAAGCAATTTTCAGAACAACACAAATCCCCATTCTCACAGAGATACAATCTTGTGGGAGAAATTAATTGACAAATAAATGTGAGATGGGTTTGGTGCCGTTGGGCATTCTGAAGACAAAGTGAAGCCAAGCAGGGGAGATGGAGGGGTTCTGGTGCTGATGTATAAGGGCTGTTTTGGAAGGCTACCGTGAGGAATGGCATTTAGGGTGGAGAAGAGAGTGAAGCAAGCATCCATCCGCTCACTTATCCAGTATTGACTGAGCATGTCTGACACGGAGGATCCAGTAGTAAGAGATCTTTACATTCTGGGTCACACCTCCTCCTTTTTAGGGAGTTGTTTTGGGGAGTTTTTTTGTCTCTTATTTTCTTCCTGCTTTCCTTCCTCCCCCAACCTCTGACCATTCCAGTTGGTCCCAAACTCTCCATGCTATCTCAGCCTTGGAAGGGTTGGAATTAGGATGTGACCCACGGCACCTAGCTTCACACCCAGCTTCAAGTGACAGCCTGCCTCAGCCTCTCTGGTTGCAGGAGCTACGAGAGTGCGCACAGCTGAAGCCTTACTCTGTCCTACTGAATGGTTTGAAAGCTGAAAATTTCAGGATAGGGGGCAGGAAGGACATCTATCCTTTGTATTTTTTTTCTTTTGTTGGAGACAGGTTCTCTGTGTAGTTTTGTCTATCTTGGACCTTGCTATGTAGACCAGGTTAGCCTCAGACTCACAGAGGTCTGCCTGCCTCTGCTTCCCAAGTGATGGGATTATAAACCACTGAGCCTGCTGAGTATTTAAATTAGAAGACACAAAAAGTCTAATGACTTTCCTCCCAAATAAAAAGACTGACTCAATTCTATCTCTGTTCCCTGAGGCCTCCCCCTACACCCACTAAGAAGTTCAATCTAGTAGTTCCTTTTCTATTACCGTAATAAAGTACCCTGACAAAAGCCATTGTGAAATAGAGTGTCGTGGTTACTTTTCTATTACTGTAATAAAGGATCCTGACAAAGGCAACTTGGAAGGGATTATTTTGGTGTAGAATTTGAGGTTCTCAGTCTCTCAAGCCCAGGTGGGAAAGGCTGGCAGCAGGCCCGTGAGGCAGTTGGTAACTTTGCAGGGATGCTGGAGCTCTGTTCTCTTTTCTTTCAGTCCAGGACCCCTGCTATAACCAACCTAATCTGGAAACACCTTACTGACTTCCCCAGGAGTTGTTTCCCTGGCGATTATAAAGTCTATCAAGCTGATGATCAAGATTAACCAAGACAGAGGGTTCCAGCAGCCTAGACTGGCTTTGAGCTCGTGATACAGCTGAAGCTGCCATGCACTGGACCTCCGGCCTCACCTCTCCCGGGCTAGGGCTGTAGATACTCAACTCCACACTCAGTTTCCTGTTCCCATTTTAAATGTTTACCAGGGTTTTCTCAGTTCATCTAATTTTACTTTCCCACACTAATCATTATTATTATTAAAAATAGCTTTGACTTACCATAGTTTATTTAGATAGACACATGTGTTTTCTGAACATTTGCCCCCTTTCTTTTGGCAGCTCATCTCCTTTTGACCTTCATTTTCTTCTTTAAATACTTCAGAAGTTTCCCTGGTAAAGGCCTGTGGTGGTTCTCTGTTTTTGTTTATCTGAGGATGTCCTTCACTACCCTTTTAAAAACAAACAACGTTCTTCGCAGGCTCGGGTGGCCTGCGCCTCTGATCACAACATTGGGAAGACTGAAGATGAGATGGAGCATTTATGGCAAGTAAGATCCTGGCTCAAAAGTTAAAAATCTGACTTTATTCAGACATAATCCACGCATCAGATTTCAGTGTCTGGTGTGTGTGTGTGTGTGTGTGTGTGTGTGTGTGTGTGTGTGTGTGTGTGTGAGAGAGAGAGAGAGAGAGAGAGAGAGAGAGAGGAGGAGATATAGGACTTTGTCACACAGTACGTATCAAAAACCAAAGGAGGCAGGGGAGAAACCTCCCAACTTTCACTATAGTGAGCATTAAATTCTGTGGTCTCTCTTTAGATTTGTCTACTCTGACATGTCACCTAAATGGACTCGTGCATTATTTTATGTGTATGAATGTTTCTCCTGCATGTGTGCAGTGCCTGACGAGACAGAGGTGCACTATGTGGATGCTGGGAACTGAACTCAGGTTCTCCGAAGAGCCTCCAGGGTTCGTAACTGCTGAGCCACCTCTCTGGCCTCGAGAATGGCTCTTTTTAATTACCATGATGTTTTCAAGTTTCATCGACATTATGGCATATACCAGTGTTTTTTGTTTTGTTTTATTTATTTATTTTAGTTTTTCGAGACAGGGTTTCTGTATGTAGTCCTGCTATCCTGAAAGTCGTCGGCTCTGTAGACCAGGCGAGCCTTGAGTTTAGAGATCAGCCTGCCCTTGCCCTGGCGTTTTGAGACAGTGTTGCTGGTAACCTGGTACCCAATTCACTAAGTACTGGAAGACCTTGACTTTGTCCTGGTCCTCCTGCACCCACCTCCCAAAGGCTGGGATTATGGGTGGTACTAGAATGGAAAGGTAAGCACTCTGCAGCCCCTATACTCACCTTTGCTTAACAACGTACGGTGGAGTCTCTCTCTCTCTCTCTCTCTCTCTCTCTCCCTCCCTCCCTCCCTCCCTCTCTCTCTCTCTCTCAGTGTGTGTGTGTGTGTGTGTGTGTGTGTGTGTGTGTGTGTGTGCCTTTTCTCTTACTGGTTTATAGCAATCCTTGTATGAATGTCCCATCAGCTTCTACTGTGGGCTTTCTCCGTCCTTCCTAACTGGATACAGTACTGTGGTAACTCCATTCTCCAGAGGTGGAAGCTTACCTGAGGGATAATTCCCACAAGTGGAATTCTAGGTAAAGGGGCACAGACGCTATGGCTAACGATGAACCAAAGCTGATGTGGTTTGCTCAAGGAAAACTGATTCCACGCGCACGCCTTTAATCCCAGCACTCGGGAGGCAGAGGTAGGCGGATCTCTGTGAGTTCGAGACCAGCCTGGTCTACAAGAGCTAGTTCCAGGACAGGCTCCAAAGCCACAGAGAAACCCTGTCTCGAAAAACCAAAAAAAAAAAAAAAAAAAACTGATTCCACGGACCTCTGTCTGCCGGCCAGCACGTCTCTCTTCTTCCGGGCATCCCCGCCCCCTCTGCAACTGACTAGACATCCTGAAAAGTAGGGGAAAGGTCACGGCAAGAGTTTGCTTCCTTCCTTCCACTCCTGTTAGCTTAGAGGTGAGGGCTTCTCCCACACACAGAGTTGGTTCTTGCCCTGTACATTGACTCGCCGATCCTAGAGATCGGGAATCCTCTCGATCCCTGCCTCCAATCCCAGTCCACTCTTCACCCCGGGAAGGCATAGGGCCACCCTCAACCTTCCATGTGTGGATGTTCCCTGTTCGAACTATCAGTAATTCTAGGCTCGCGCCGGGGGCAGGGGTGTGTTTTACCACTCTCGGCTTCCCCAGGAAATCTTTTCTGAGATTCCCCTTCGGAGACAAAATGTCTGCATTGTCTTGGTCGGGGGTGGCGGGTAAGTAAGGTAGATCAGTTTCCAGGACTGAAACCTGGACCATGACTTCCTCCCTCTCTAGTTCAAGCTGAAGGCACCTTTTAAAACAAGTCGTTTATTTTAAATGAATGAAAACAAAAAAAGCATCTAGGAGTCAATGCCCTCACTGGGGACCGGATCCACTGAGGGCAAAGTGATTTGTCCAAACGCCTTAACACCAGGAGACTATTTCACTTTCACTCGGGAGGGTTCGAGGCCAGCCCGGGTTACCCGGTAAGAACCAGCTTTAAAAAAGAACCCCTGCCGGGCCTTCACTCTCTACACGCCCCCAAGTGGTGTCACTACCAAGTGTGATGACGAGGAGGGTGGCGTGAAGGCGCCTTTCGGCTTCTGGTTTTCTAGAAGGCCGGCCGGGTTGATCCTCACGCCAGACCCTTTCCGGACAGCAGTGAGTCAACCGCAAGCCGCGTGCTTGCCGCGACTCTCTGCGGCCTCCGCGACGACCCGTCCAGCTGAGGCAGGGGCAGGGCGAGCAGCAGACGTGCCCCGGAGAAGCGTGCGTGCGGCTTCGGTACGCAGGCGCGGCCTCCGAGGGCGGAACCTCGGCCATTGGTGGGCGGGGCCTCGAGGCGTCGTTTTCTCTTTGCTACTTATTCGTAGCCCGAGCAGTGCCTGCGTGGAGCTTCCACGCTGCTACTCCAAGGATCTTCCTCCTCGCGCCTGCACGACCTGCTGTGACAGCGAGCAGCCGTCTCCTGACTCTTCCTCCTGAGGTAACTGGCCCAGGACCCTTCAGACCGGAGGCCGAGTCCTGGATCCCTTGGCCTGGCCGAGTCCTGGATCAGGCTGCCTAGGCTCTCTTTAGGACTGTGCCTCCAGAACGTCCCTAGGCTCTCTTGGCCTGGTCCAATCTATGAACCCCTTGACCCACCAATGCTCGCCCATCATGTGAGCCCCAAACACCCTTATTTTCCCCTTTCTAATGTATTATGTATTACGAGTGTTGTGTCGTCACTGCCCCTCGGAAGGCTGTGTTCTTGTCTGTAGGACGATCGCGTGGCCCAGAGTGCCTTCCAGAATGCCTAAGCTACTGGAAAGCATTTAAGTATGCTTGGACAAATGAACTTGATTTAACTTTCAGTTATTTTGTGAGTGCTGTTTAGAATTTCGCGTATGCTAAGGCTTATACCGCTGGCTATGTTGCCAGCTCTTAGGGTTTACTTGAGACAAGGCTTCTTGACAGTAGCTTCTGATTCTCTCTGTAGCTGGGGCAGACCTTAAACATGCTTTCCTTCTGCCTCAGCCTCCTTCACAGCTGGGATTACAGGCCTTTGCCACCCTTATCATTTATATTTATTGTGACATTCAAGAAGTTTATAATCAAATGTGTGATTCAGAAGAGACTAACTATACAGGTTGCCTTATTTAGGGCATGTTCTTTTTATTCTTGTGGTGCTCCAACATCCTGGGAAAGCTCTCTATACCACTTGAGTTATAGTTTGAGCCTCTTTTTTATTTTCCCAAGACAGTGTTTCTCTTTAGAATTCTCTCTGTAGACCAGGTTGGCTTTAGAGATCCAACTGCCTCTGCCTCCAGAGTGCTGGGATTAAAGGCGTGTGCCACCACCGCCCAGCGCCCAGGCTAGGTTTTAACTCACTGTGTAGCCCCAGGCAGGCACCACTGGTCACATCTAGCATTTTCTTTTGTATATTATGTATGGGCATTTTGCCTCCGTGTTTGTCTTCATGTTTGTTATGCATCATGGATGTGTGATGCCTGTAGAGCCCAGAGATGGTGTCAGATTCCCTGGGACTGGAGTTACAGATGATTGTGAGCTGCTATGTGGGTGCTGGGAATCGAACCCCAGCCCTCTGCAAGATGGGCCAGTGTTGCCGGGTGGTGGTGGCGCACGCCTTTAATCCCAGCACCCGGGAGGCAGAGGCAGGCGAATCTCTGAGTTCGAGGCCAGCCTGGTCTACAAGAGCTAGTTCCAGGACAGGAACCAAAAGCTACAGGAGAAGCCCTGTCTCGAAAATCCAAAAAAAAAAAAAAAAAAAAAAAAAAAAAAAAAAAAAAAAAGATGGGCCAGTGCTAATGGTGGAGCCCCATCTCTCCAGCATGATTTTCTTATATTTCCATCTGCCCCTTATATAAAGGTAAGTACCGGCACTGTAACATAGGGTTTGTACGTTGCTCTTGGTAGGAATGGTCTTCAAGAGAAGTAAAGGTAGCTGGATGCGTGGACTGTACCTGTTATCCCAGCACAGACAAGAGGATTGCTTCAAGTATGAGGCTAGCCTGGGCTACATAGCAGGCTTCTGGAGGGAGTGGGAAGAAGGACAGACAAGCAGTTCTATACAGTGTTCTTGAAAATATTCCAGAGTGTGATTTGTTCTTCAGCCGTGGCATTTGTAGTGCAAATATACTTGGAGACGCTGCTGTAAGCAAACATGCAGGCTCCCTGCTCCCTGGCTGGCAGGGCCTTTGTTGCTCCAGTGCAGACAAGGGTTGAAGGATGTATACACATGGACTCTTTCTCTATCTTCACAGGATCTAGAAGCAGAAGGCAGCTTTCCTCCCCTGCGAAGGAGCTGGGCATTGCGGCCATGAAGTACATGTTGAACCTCTATCTGCTGGGGGTCATGTTGACCCTGCTATCCATCTTTGTTAGACTGATGGAGTCAGTCGGGGGCTTACTGGAGAGCCCAGTGCCTGGGAGCCCCTGGATCGCCAGAGGTCAGCTAGCCAACACAGAGCCTCCCAAAGGCCTTCCAGACCATCCGTCTGGAGGAGTACAGTAAAACCAAGCTTCAGCCGGACTTTGGCACGCTAAGTTCAGCATGTCCAGCCAAGTGTTCCATTTCCGAAGCAGCAGCATCTCACTCTCCCGACGAGTGGAATCTCACTCTCCCGACGCTTGCTTTGCTGTCCTCAGCAGTGTGGCTCTCAGATGAAGGTGTACCAGCTTCAGGGGTTGGGAGGGTCAGGTTCTTTTAGCCCTCTGTCCTGAAGGACTCTTTGGACCTAAGTATCTTCTGGTTGGTTTGATATTGAGTCTGTTCCATGAGAACTGTTTGGACAGCAGTTAAGGGATTATGGGCTGGCTATAAAGTGAGAGAGGTTGGAATAGCCAGCATCCACGTCTCAGTTGTACATTAAGTTCTTCCTCCAATGTAGTCCGCATGCGTTTGTAAATAGTGTCTAAAGAGGGCTGTGGGGTGATCAGACCCGCTCAGGGTGTGGGAGGCCCGGCCACTGTGTGGCTTACATGAATTTTTCTAATGCAATAAATGTGACTATATATGTTTACACTATGTGTGTCATGTTGACATGTCTGCCCTGGAAATTAGTAAGGAAAAGTTTAAATCCTAGATCTTCAAGTAAACCCTATCTATCTATCTATCTATCTATCTATCTATCTATCTATCTATCATCTATCTATCTATCTGTTTATGAGGTGAGGTCTCACTGTGCAGCCCTGGCTATCCTGGAGATCCCTTTGTAGACCAGGCTGTCTCACAGAGAGATGCCTGCTTCTGCCTCCTTAGTGCCGGGATTAAAGGTGTGCACCACAACCATGCCTGGCCATCTTTATTTTTGAGATCGTCTCCTGTAGATAAGGCTGGTCTTGATTTTCTTATCTCCCTGCCTTCACCTTCTAAATGATGGGATGGATGGCTTATACTTAAACTTGGTGTTTTCAAATTTAGGAGCAAGAAAGTGCTCAGAGCTCTGTTTAGGAACTGAGCATGGTAGTATATGCCTGCGGTCCTCAGCACTTAGGAAGCTGATGCAAGAGGATTGCCTAAAGTTCCAAGGATAGCCAAGGCTGCGTAGCCAGACGGAGCACAAACAAAAAAAATTGTTTAAACTTACTTGGGGACAGGGCCTTTCAGGTTTGCCCTGAATCAGCCAGTTAGGTATATGAGCATAGGCTATCACAATTGGTCCTTCATAACCACCTGCAGGGACTCAACCAGTTGTCAGTTGAGCTTTTGATTATTAGTGCTCAGGATTGAACGCAGGGCTCTGTACATACAAGGTAAGCACTATACCACTGAAGCCAAATCAGCCCTGGAAATATTTTTTATATTGATTTACTTTTATTTTATATACATTTGTATTTTGCCTACAGGTCTGTCTGTGAGTGTCAGATCTTGGGGTTACAGACAGTGTTGAGTTGCATGTGGGTGCTGGGATTTTGAACATGGTTTTCTGGAAGAACAGTCAGTGCCCTTAACTGCTGAGCCATCTTTCCAGCCCCCAAAATATTTTTTTTTAAATTATGCCCATGATGAACTATTTTTGTCCATGATAAGACATTTTTCACTTTTCCCTAAACAATAAAATAAAGCAGCAATATAGTACTTTTTTTTTTTTTTTTTGGTTTTTCGAGACAGGGTTTTTCTGTGGTTTTGGAGCCTGTCCTGGAACTAGCTCTTGTAGACCAGGCTGGTCTCGAACTCACAGAGATCCGCCTGCCTCTGCCTCCTGAGTGCTGGGATTAAAGGTGTGCGCCACCACCGCCCGGCAATATAGTACTTTTATATCATGTTAGGTACTATAAGTAACTCAGAGGTAAGCCTGTGTTAGGATATACTTGGCTCCTCTGTAGATGGTATGCCATTTTATGTAAGAGACTTGTCTTCAAGGGAGAGTTGTTGCATTAATTCCCCCAAGGACCATTTGGTCTTCTTGGGACTGATCCATATCTAAGAAAAATGCCCTGTCCTAGCCTTTCCTTGAGTCTAAAAGCAGACGAGCATTCCTGCAGTTCTTGGCTATTCTGTTCTCTTCATTATCTTTATTTATTTATTTATTTATTTTATTTTTCGAGACAGGGTTTCTCCGTAGTTTTTTTTTTTTTTGTTCCTGTCCTGGAACTAGCTCTTCTAGACCAGGCTGGCCTCAAACTCACAGAGATCCGCCTGCCTCTGCCTCCCGAGTGCTGGGATTAAAGGCGTGAGCCACCAGGTATTATTCACCCGTGTGGCTGTTTAACTCTGTTTGCTGTCAACTTACGTCAGCTACTGTCTGCAAGTGCCCGTGTTCAGTCTGTGCCGTGAGAGCTCACGAAGGGACCCAGATTCTTCTTATTCACAGAGCCCCATCTGCCTCAAGTGCTGGGGTTAAAGGCATGCAGCACGGTGACAGGCAAAGAAGGTTCCTTCCCCCATTCCGCCGCTCCATCCCACGTGCTTATTGTGAAAGTGTTCACTTTGCCTCAAGCTACTTCATCTTCTCTCATCTCTGTACGGACACTATTTTATGAATTTGATTTCCTTTTGCCCCAAGAAAGGAATGGAACACAGCATCCTGTTCAACCAGCCCTGCTTTCTGGATCCTTTTAATGCAACTGACTGATAGACCTGGCATAGGGATTCGTTTTATCTATGCCGTGTGGTAGTCAGTGTATTGCCAAAATCCCCATTCTAGGTACATAGTGCATTTTTCTTAGCCAAAGGTTCAAGAAGTGATTTCTTTATTGGGTCTTGCTGTGCAGCCCAGGCTGGCCTCGAACTTGTGATTTAATTGCTGGGGTTTAAGATCTGTTGTCACATCTGCTCTGGGCATATGGTAAGCTAGTCTTGACACTAGTGAGGTTACATACAGGTGATTTCATTAGTGCAGTTCTGTCATTGTGTTTGGAGGGATGGTGGGAGGTCTTTAGCAGGTAAAACACTCGTCAAGATGTAGGATGACCTGAGTTTGATCTCTGAAACCTACAGAGTGGAGAGAGAGAACTGATTCCCACAGGTTGTCCTCTGAAGTCTACACATACACTGTGGTGTGCTGGTATCACCCCCCCCCCAGAAATGTAAATGAAAAGAAAATATTATTGGAGGTCTGGCTAGATAGCTCGGTGGGTAAAAGTTCTTGCCGCCTAGCCTGATGACCCGAATTTGACCCCCAGGACCCACATGGTGGAAGGTGAGAACCCACTCCTCTAAATTGTTCTTTGATGTTCACAAATGTGCCCCCCCCAATAAATTAATAGTTGTACAAGTAAAAAATATGACTGGAAACCCAGCATGGTGGCACGCACGTGCCCTCCATGTAAGCTAATGTCACACATATCTGTGTTTGTTGGCTTTGTGTGCACACGTGCACACTAATTTAGAGACAGGGTTTTGCTATATAGTCTGTACTGACTTTGAACTCTTGGCAACCCCCCTGCCGTAGTCTCCTAATTGGTGGGATTACAGGTCTGCATCACCATGCCCAGCTAATTCCAATTTTTGTATCAGTCAAGGACATATTAGGTTATATTGTAGCAAGACCTGAGCTCCGGAAAGGAAACAGTTGCCTAAACAGTGCTCCCCCTTCCTCCGGAGGGAGGTGCCCACACCACTCTGGCTGGTTGGTAGTGCGCAATCTCAGGCTGTTGTGCCCCACCCCCATGTGCCCCACCCCACGTGCCCCACCCCCATGTGCCCCACCCCCACTCCTCATCTGCCTGACTGCTGCCAGCTGGGCCTCCTCCTGTTACCACGTGTTAGATCTGTGGAAACGTGGCACCCAGATAGCTCAGCCATACTGGTAGAGAAACTTGAGCCCCACTCCGAACTTAAGTTTGAATTGTAAGTAAAAATGTTATTTTATTTTTTCCCATTGAGGGAAGAATAAGGGTGTCTTACTTAGGGAAATATTCAACATCCTGAGCTGTCAGAGGAATGCAAATTAAAACAACTTTGAGATTCCATCTTACACCTGTCAGAATGGCCAAGATCAAAAACACTGATGACAGCTTATGCTGGAGAGGTTGTGGGGTAAGGGAAACACTCCTCCATTGTTGGTGAAAGTGCAAACTTGTACAACTGATTTGGAAATCAGTATGGTGATTTCTCAGAAAATTAGAAAATGATGTACCTCAAGACCCAGCAATACTGCTGTTGGGTATAAATCCAAAAAACACTCACTCATACTACAAGGACATGTGCTCAACTAAGTTCACAGCAGCAATATTTGTAATAGCCAGAACCTGGAAACAACCTAGATGCCCCTCAACTGAAGAATGGATAAAGAAAATGTAGTACAGTTACACAATGGAGTACTACATAGCAGTAAAAAATAATGACATCTTGGAATTTACAGGCAAATGGATGGATCATATTGAGTGAGGTAACTCAGACCCAGAAAGACAAATATAATATGTATTTGCTCATAAGTGACTTTCAGACATAAAGAAAACGCAGCCTACAGGCCACAACCCCAGGGAACAAAGACAACAAAGAAAATCTACAAAGGGAGGTGAAAAAGACAAGATCTGCTGAGTAAATTAGAAGCCTGGGAGGATACGGGAGAGGGCAGAAGGGGATAGGAAAGAAAGGGAGTGGAGAAAAAAAGTGTAGCTCAACAAAAATAAAAAAAGAGAGAGAGAGAGAGAAGTTAGGGCCTAGGCATGTAGCTCAGCCAGCAGAGTGCTTCCTAAGTGTCCTAACTTCCTTTCTATTACTGTGATAAAGACCATAACCAAAAGCAACCTCGGGAGAAAGGACAGCTGGCAGTCCACCATTGAGGGAAACCATGGCAGAAGCTCGTGGCAGGAACCTGGAGCCAATTAACAAAAGCTATTCTTTATTTCAGTACTGAGGACTATACTCGGAGGAAGGGAGGGGAGTGGAGAAAAAAAATGTATAGTTCAATAAAAACAAAACAAACCAAAAAGTAAGGGTGTCTTACCTGCAGGAGAGATGTGAGTTCGGTACTGGCCTGCCTACCAGGAAGGCCACTACTGGTAGTCATTGAAGTCTCAATATTCCTGCATTCCTTTGTTTGTTTTGAGACACTGTCACTGTAGGGTCCAGAATGGACTCAAACGCACAGCAATCTTCCCTCAGCCTCCTTCGCTGAGATTACAAGTGAACTCTACCACTCCTGCCTAGAAGCTCACTCCTGACCCCTGGTGGTTGAACGAGGTCAAAGAACTAATTCTGCCTAATTCTGAGTAGATTGGAACAGGTAAGAACTGATTCCCAGCGTGGAAGCTCCCCGCTTCCCCAGCCCTGCCACCCCCCCCCCCCCCCTTCGGGGAACTAGTATTGGTCTGTACGGAACTTCTCCATTGGTGTAAGCCCTGGAGTGAGGTTGCCTAAGAGAAGAGCCTCAACTGGCCCCTGGAAAGAGGGAAACCAGCCTTTACTGTGCGAAGAGGTTGGGGGTAGGGGCGGCGTTGTTACAGCAATGTAGCCGCCGAGCTGGACCACACATTGCATACAGCACCTCCAGAATTCAGACCCGGTCCTCACTGACCTCCTCCAATAGCGCATAAGACACTAGAGGGGAAAGCAGGTTTAAAAAAAAAAAAACA